ATTCATTTTGCCTTAGACTATGTAGTTCTTACAATTGTGCATGTTGTCAATAATGCATCAGCACCATTTGAAAGAATGACAACATAGATTTTAGATTTACAATTTAAACACTATACAGTGACTATACAGTGACTTAAGAGACTTTGAGCGATACATTCATCTGCAAAAGCAGACCCTCAATCACACATTTTAATATAAAAAAAATTACAATGCATAATGCATTTACCATCATGCCTTACTACAGCTCAAAATAGACTAACATTTAATTCTGAGGGAATATGGATGAACTGAATTTCTCAGATAAATAAACCACATGAGCAGAAGTCAAGCAAATTGCAGGGTGAAATGCCCCACTTATGCCGAGTTTGCCCTGTGCTGCATCTCTCTACGCTTTGTTCCGTGGTCTCAAAAAGAGCAGCCACTCCAGTGACACAGCTTCTGGGCAGAGAAAAACCATGAGCTCCGATGAAGGAAACGGAGCAGTGGCAAGTTTAATTCCGTAAACGGCATGATGATGTGACCCTCCGGCTGCCGTAATGAAGTCATCTCACTTCGATGAGATCAATGAGCAATATCCACTGAGGAAAAATGAATAAGACAGCACTGCTGTGTCAGTTTTCCTGCTCTGAAGGAGGACGAGGTTAATCTTTTAAAGAACGTAGTCTGCGCCCACATCACCGTCCACTGACATTCTTCTTTTACCCTGTGCACTCTCTCTCTTATGAAGACTGCCTATTGGACTTTTAGACACTGGGACAGCCAGGGGAGGAGTGGCATCTGTGCGCACACATGGCCATTCACGTATGATACACAAGCCCTCAGACACAGGCATACATTAGTGGAATCGTGCCACAAACCTTGGTGACTTTACAGTAAGCTGATATACAACTGGTTTTAACGCAGCCAAGATTAAACTGAACATTATGATTAAATGCCTCTGACGCAAACCATACTTGCCTAAATTAACATAGTGAATGCCATGATTTTTCACTGTTTTTATTCCTTTTTCTAACTTCAAATCTTCTTTGGGATATCTTAAAGGTAATCATCCACTGCTTACTAAGAACTGTCTACATTTTTGTTTAGTGAATGTCTTTGTTCCAGCACTTTAAGTTAACATTAGTGTTTGCCGTCATCATTTCCTTATACATGTATATGTATTATACATGTACAGGGAGTGCAGAATTATTAGGCAAATTAGTATTTTGACCACATCATCCTCTTTATGCACGTTGTCTTACTCCAAGCTGTATAGGCTTGAAAGCCCACTACCAATTAAGCATATCAGGTGATGTGCATCTCTGTAATGAGAAGGGGTGTGGTCTAATGACATCAACACCCTATATCAGGTGTGCATAATTATTAGGCAACTTCCTTTCCTTTGGCAAAATGGGTCAGAAGAGGGACTTGACAGGCTCAGAAAAGTCAAAAATAGTGAGATATCTTGCAGAGGGATGCAGCACTCTTAAAATTGCCAAGCTTCTGAAGCGTGACCATTGAACAATCAAGCGTTTCATTCAAAATAGTCAACAGGGTCGCAAGAAGCGTGTGGAAAAACCAAGGCGCAAAATAACTGCCCATGAACTGAGAAAAGTCAAGAGTGCAGCTGCCAAGATGCCACTTGCCACCAGTTTTGCCATATTTCAGAGCTGCAACATCACTGGAGTGCCCAAAAGCACAAGGTGTGCAATACTCAGAGACATGGCCAAGGTAAGAAAGGCTGAAAAACGACCACCACTGAACA